TACATGAATGTATTAATGCGTGTGTGTGTGTGTTTGTGTGTGTGTGTGTTTGTGTGTGTGTGTGTATGTGTGCCTACCTTGGGAGCCAGAGGAAGACTTTCAGTGTCCTTTTCTATCTCTTTCCAGCTCATTCCTTTGAGGCAGGGTCTCTCACTGAGCCTGGAATCAAGCCTGGTTAAACCATGCAGCAAGGCACAGCAGTTGCTCTTTCACTCCCTGCTATAATGTCGCTGTGATTATACATGTAGATGATGCTGGGATTTACAGATGTATGTGCTGGGATCTGAGCTCTGACTCTCATGCTAACACAGCAAGTGCTTATACCTGCTGAACCATGATAGTTCACTTCTTAATGTTCCTTCTTATAAAGGATTCTTTATTTGTTTTCATGAATGCTGCACAATTTGTTTGTGTGATTGTTCTGTGCTAGGGCTCGAACCAGGGCCTTATGCTTGTTACATAAGTGCTCAACCACTGAGCCAAATCCACAGCCCCAGCCAAGTGTTTTGAGACATTTAAAATTATACAGCATAATAAATTTAAAATACTCTTCTAACGTCAAACATTTTTGGTTTCATTTAATGTGCTGCATGGTCAAGGAAATACTGTTTTTTTTTTCCTTCATTGATAGCTCTTGTGGCATTGAAAATATAGCATGCTTTACTAAGAGCCTGTATTTAATTAAGTAGAAGCTGCCTTGTAGAGGTAAGGGGAGTTTTAGAGACAGCGTCCAATCATAAAGCTCATTTGTAGTGTATATTTCCCACAAATACTCAACGTGGTAGCACACCAGTTAGTCTAACATCTTAGGCATTGAAATCGAGTTCATCAAAGGCACAAGGAAGGCATGGAGTCTTTTCAGCCCACAGAAGTCAGGGAACTAGCTTCCTCTACCACAGTGGTTCTCAGCCTTCCTAATGCCGCCACCCTTTTATATGGTCCCTCAAGTTGTGGTGCCCCCCAACCATAAATTATTTTGTTTCCACCTCATAACTGTAATTTTGCTACTGTTATGAGTCGTAATGGAAATAAATATCTGATATGCGACCCCCAGAGGGGTCGTGACCCACAGATTGAGAACCACAGCGTGATAATCTCCTGTCCCTTCCAGCTGTTGAAGTTGACTACCTTCTGGAAATTAAAACCTACCTGGCTCAGACCAAGAGAGTAATGGTCCTGGGTGAATTACTACACCATTGCATAACCCTGGGAATTTATCAATAGGCTTTGCCCTGAGTAATGGGAATTAGAGTGAAAAATTAACAGAAGACTAGTCATTCATGCTTGGTTCAAAGCCATATGCTAAGGCTCCTTCCATTTTCTTACTCTCATATATCTGAAATTGTGCTCTGAATCAGCTATCAGACATGCGATGTACACTCCCTCATTTGTACTCTCTCCATGCAAGTACTGAAGCCTGAGTCAATGGGATTTTAGTCCCACACACCAGCTGGCATTTTCATTAGTTCACATATAAATGACACATTGTCTGGGTGTGGTGATCTGTGATGGTAAGGCTAGCATTTGGGAAGCTGAGGCAGGTGGACCGTTATGAGTTCAAGGCCAGACTGGCATCTAGTGTGAGACACTGCCTCAAAAAAAAAAAAAAAAAAAATCAAAGCAACGAGAGGGGAGGCCCTTGGTCCCCGGGAGGTTTGATGCCCCAGAGTAGGGGGATGCTGGAATGGTGGAGCAGGAGAGTATGGGTGGGTCGGGGAGGACTCTCATACAGGCAAAAGAGAAGGGGAGGGCAGATGTGGGATGAGGGTGGCAGAGGGGTAAACGGGAAGTGGAATATCATGGGATGGGGGATTGGTAGAGGAGTAAAAGGAAAATGAGATATCATTTGAGGTGTTAACGGATGGAATGACTAATAAATTTTTTTTTAAAAAAATCCCCCAAAAGCAAAGCAAATAAATATATATATATTTTTAAAATGAGGCCCTTCAGACCTTTTTTTAGCTCCCCCATTGGGGACCATGTGCTCAGTGTCAGTTCAGGGGAAACTGGAAAAGGGGATAACATTTGAAATGCAATTAAATAAAATATCCAATTTAAAAATGAAGCTTTTTATCAGTTTTTACCTCTGACATCATTCACTAACTTCACTTGCTACTTCTTGGGAAGAAACGAGACCTGGGGGAGATGAAGGGAACTAAAATTAGCACCATAACCATGTAAGTTTTAGTTTTAGCTTATATAATCTGAATACATTTTCTCAAAGCAAAACCCTTCTAATCGAGCCCTTTCTAAAACAAACAAACAAACAAACAAACAAAACAAAAACAAAACAAAAAACCAAACAAACACATACACACACACACACACACACACACACAAAACCCAAAGTGTTTATGGAAGTACACAGGTGCTAGCCAGAAAAACAAAGGGCTGGGTTGTGGGACTGTGTGGGACTGTTTCCTGCATTGATTCAGAGCTGGGGAATGTAGCAATTCAAAATGCCCTTGGACATTCGTAGAGCTTAGAGCACCTTTTATCAGTTCTGTAGAAGACTTTGCTAAGAGGAAAGGATACCTCAGAGCTGGTATGGGAAGTGTCAGTAGGGCAAGCTATGGTGTGCCCTAGGCGGGTATGGTTGGTTGGATCAATAATCTGTCAAGTTAACATGTAAACACAGGACCAATGATGTTGGAATTTGGTCCTGAGGAGATTTAAAGCTTTAGCAGCCATGTTGAAACATAAATGGTCTTCTTCTTTGTGTTTATAGCTGTGCCTACCCCTTGCAGTCCATTTCTCCTTTTCCCGTCCTTCAGCCCATTGTCCTAAAGTATCAATGAGAGAAACAGCTCTGTCCTCAAAGGAACCAAAGAGATGGCTTATTTTGGGGCCAAATATGCCTGACCCTGGTTCAAAATCATAGCTTTGGGGTTTCCATCATGTTCTGATGAGATTGCAATTTTCCTATTTTTGTTGAGGGGTGCATCTGGTAGGCAGGTTCTAACAAAGCAGGGATTGGTCTGCAGCGTCCAGATACTAAGCTCTTATTTGCAGCATACTGTGGCTGGTTTTATGTCAATTTGACAAATCGAGAGCTATTAGAGGGGAAGGAGCTGTGGTTAAGAAAATGCCTGAAGAAAGATGATGGAGTTGTAGATCACAAGCCTGTGGGGCATTTTCTTAATTAGTGATTGATGGGGAAGAGCCAGGCCCATTGCAGGTGGGGCCACCCATGGGCAGGTGGTCCTAGGTTCTATCAGAAATCAGGCTGAGCATGCCATGAGAAACAAAGCCAGTAAGCAACATCTCTTCATGGTCTCTGTATCAACTCCTGTCCTCATGTTCCTGCCCCAACTTCCTTCAATGATGGGCTAAGATTTGATGCGTAAGTAAAATAAACCCTTTCCTGCCCAACTTTCTTTCAATCATTGTGTTTTATCACAGCAATAGAAACCCTGACGAGAACAGAAATCAGAATCAGACAGTGGGGTATTGCTGTGACAGACTTGATCGTGTTGCTTTTGAGAGAAATGTGGAAGGACTTTGGAACTTTGGGCTAGGAAAGTCGTTGAGTATTGAGAGCTTATTGGGATGTTCAGTAAGAGCTTGGAAGATATGAATGTTGAGAACAATATGTCAGAGGCCTGGCTCATCAAGTTTCAGTAGGAAACAAAGACCATATTAGGCCATATCTGTGGTGTCTGGTCAGTAGGAAATGGTGAATCAGCTGGAGTTAACAAGAGACCAGAACCACTAAAATCAAATCTTTGCTTCCATGTACAATGGATGCTGGTCAACTGGGGCTGAAGAATTACCTGTGATTCAGTGAGTAGATTAAGAGAGCAGCATTATTGAGGTGAAAACTTTTGAGATGTGTTTTCTCAGGGTCACCACACTGAAGCTGTGTTCCAGAGGCAGCCAAGGTTGTACATTGTGCCAGCAGTTACATTTGGTGGTTTAAGCATCACTCAGGTGGAGATGATTTTGAAGGCAGGAAGGGGTCATGGAGATCAGCTGAGGCTTGACACTGTGTGGCAGAGGTGAAGTTTCCTGAAGAGAGCTGAGGAGAGGTTGTGGCTGAAAGTGCAGCCTAATTGCCGCAAGACACCGGAGCACTGTTGCCAGTACTGTGGGATGATCACCAAGAACAGCAGAGCAGCAGTGGAGTGGAGCCAACTGGAGCCTAGAAGACAAACTATAATACAGAGGACAGAGCCAGAAAAGTGACTCAAGTCCGTTATAGGAGCCCAGGAGCTTCTGAGTGGATCCCAGATATTAAACACTAAGTTTTTTGCAAGTTGCAATTCAGTTTTGGTTTTGCTTTGGTTGTGACTATACCCTGCTTCTTCTCTCTTGAAATAAGAAAGTATTTTACAGGAGCCCACAATGAAGAGACTTACGTTTTAAAATAGATTTTAGATTTTTTAAAAGAGAGACTGAACTTAAAAATGTTTAAGTTTGTAAGGCTGTTGGGCTTTTGAAGTTTGTAAAATGTTTTATGTCTATATTAATATGTGATCTTGTGGGTGAATAAGAAAGGAAAGTCTGAGACTTAACAGTGATGTGTTTGTGTGTCAAGATGACAAAAGGTCACTTGTGCTGGCTTTCAATTTGACGTAAGTCTTCTGCGAGGAGAGTCCTGGGTTCTAATAGAAAGCAAGCCAAACAAGCTATGATGAGCAAGTCAGTAAGCGCCTCTCCATGGCCTCTGCATCAGCTTCTGCTTCCAGATTCCTGCCTTGCTTGATTTCCTGCCCTGACTTCTCCAATGATGAACAATGATGTAGAAGTGTAAGCCAAATAGACTCTTTCCACTCTTAATTGCTTGTGGTCATGGTGTTCATCCCAGCAATAGAAACCCTGATTGGAAGACTTGCCTTCTCCTTGTTAGACATCGAACACACTGTGATGATTCCTCAAATCATTTGGTCATTATCTGTAGATTCTTAGTCGTGAAATGTTTTTGTTTTTTACGCAGCCATATTTGTTAGAGCAAGCTGCCATGCAGGTGTTCAGCATCTCCTTTTGTCTTTGTTTTCCAGTGTTCCAACATTCCAGAGCCTTCCTGATGAAATCCTCAGCAAGCTGGCTGATGTCCTCGAAGAGGTAATTGTTTTGATCCTTTGCACATCTTGAGATGAAACCCAGACTTTGAGCTAAGCTGGGCTGCTTTCTTTCTAAGCTCTGTGATGACAAATCAGAAACTGCCAAGAAACCTTGCCAGTATGACCCAAGCTCTGGGATGAGCTATAGATTTGACTTCAAATTAAAAGCAGCTAAGCACACCCAACACTTACAAGCAGACACAGGCAGACTAGTTACAGGAGGGAGAGAACATATCATTGTGGTAAATGTAATGTTACTTTGGCATCTATGAGTAATATGCTGGCATTTTTATTCTTATTTCAATTAATTGTAGTTGTTGTCATCTTGATATTAACAAGAAGAATTAGCAATTGGGTCTGTATATTTTAAGTATCTGTGTATAGTTTATACATATAATTACATGGTCAGATGAGGAATGACATAGGCTTTTCTTTGAATTCATGGAAGCCATAGTATTGAGAAAGAGGAGAAACTGGAATGTGGCTCTTCGTGCACCACAGAGACCTTGTTTAGAAAGGAAAGGAACTTCTTCCACTCACACTGAGAACCTTTGCACTGAATTAAAACCATCCCAATTCCTCAGTGACTGCAGGAGACTTGAATAGATGTTCTTCCTACATAGCGGAGCTCTTCCTAGAGATCTCTACTCGGGGCCTCAGGGTATTGCTAATAGTGGAGAATCTAACTCCAGGAGGAGCCATGCACAACATTCAGGATGCAGAACCAAGGAGATCAGTAGTTCAAAGTCACCCTTGAACTACATAGTGACTTTCAGGCTAGATTGGAGTATGTGGACAATGTCTCTCAAATGCCATAAGGAAGAAAAGGAGAAAATGAGGGGAGAGAAAGAGAAGGAGCAAAGCATCATACACCCAAGGCAAGACAAGAGGATGTGTTTGACCTTTGGGAGCTTTTAGATTTCAGTTTTCAATGGATATAAATTCTCTCTAAATATAAAAGATTATGTAATAATGTTTTGATATGCTTATTTTTATCTGAATTTTTTTGTTTCTTAAAAAGGATTATATGGAGGCTTATGACTGTGTTACACAAGTTTTAGATGAGAAAGAACAGTTGATTAAATAAGAACATTAAGTCAGAAAAGGGCAAAGGAATTTTTACTATAAACATGAGTCCAAAAGGGGTGAAGACATAAGCTTAGGCAATAAATATGCTTCTTAACCTTGTTGTGAAATATTCTCAGAAAAATACAGATTTATAGATGAGAAAAAATAAGGTTAATCTCAAAGGTCACATTTGCTTTGGTCTAAAGCATGGTTTATTAGCTGTTTTAATATTCTGAAGCATTTCTGAAAAAAAGGCTAATCTACATGCAGGCAATATTAACTGTAATTTTTGTTAATTGTATTGATACTCTTGACTTCCATCTCATGAAAGACTGGAACCAAATCTAGGGATGTAACAGGTTTTTTTTTTTCCTTTCTCATATTTTTTAAAATTTTCTTGCCCTTCTATTCAGTCTTGACTTTAGTGGTTGACATCATTCTCTGTAGGTAATAGACATACAAGTTTTTGATTGAAGTTGAAAAGTTAAGAATTTGTTCCATTTTGTTAAGGAAGTGTAAGTACATTAATAGGAATCCTGGAACAGTTACTGGAGGAGACAAAGCTGACCACTAAAGTAGGATATTATAATTCAAGTAGGAAATGCAGGGAAATTGGTTTAAATCACTTTTGGGAAACAAGACATTAACTCAACATGCTGGGATGGCCCTCAGCTCCAGAGCAGTTACCAAGCATGTGGAAAGCTTTGGGTCCTGTCTATCCTGCATAGATGACAATCAGGCAAATTCCTGACTGGTTCTGGTGCTTCCTGCCTATTCCAGCACTGAGAACTATGAACAGGAAATTATGAGTTTGAAGATAGTCTTGGAATAGTAATTCAAAGCTATCCAAGCCTACAATGTTAGACAACATATCAGCAAATAAAAACCAGAACATAGGAAGGATGGTCATGAGGAGGATGGGGAGAAAGATAGAAGAAATGAATTCAGGGATTTGGAAGGTTATTCTGCTGCCCTGCAGAAAGCCAAGAAATGGGACAACATGGATAAGGGCAACGTCACAGGGCAGGTTGTTTGCTTACATGTTCTTTTAACTAAAGCTTTATTCAGTTAATCTTCAAATAGGAGTCTAAAAATAAAACATTTAAAAAATAGTCATAGTCAATTCCTCATAGAGTTTACATTCTAGAAAGGGAGAGTTCTTCATAATCAATAAGTTGCAAGAAAACTTAATTGAGGGACCAGAGTGATGGCTCAGAGGTTAAAAGCACTTGGTCCTGCAGAGAACTTTGGTTTGGAATACAAACACACCTTTTTAAAGGCTTGCTTTAAACACCCTTCTCCCCATATTCAATAAAGATAAATGCTGAAGAAAAGAATTTAAGCAGAGTTTGAGAAAAGATGGAGTCTTTCGAATGAGTAAGTAGCATCAGAGTTGTCAATTGAATAAAGAGGATGAAATGAGTGTCCAGGGGCTAAGGAAACCCTCTGTGAAACATGCCTGGGACAAGTGTGAGGAATCATTAAAATGAGATTGGAGTTGGGTGTCTTGGGAAGGTGTGCTATACATCTGTATAAACCTATATAAAGCTACACAGGGTCAGGTAAGTCATGCAAGGCCTTTTAGTCCACTGCAGGTATTTAGTCTTTCCCATAGACTGAGATGGAAGCCATTGAATGGCTTTAAGCAGATTAATAGAATTACTTGGCTTACATGTTTATCATGATTCCCATGATGGGGAGCATTGGGAATGATGATAAAAGAAATGACAGTTGCTTTGTTGACTGTCATAAGAGGAGATTGAGGAAAAATGGCAAAAACTGATTGGCTTTGAGAGAATAGCTCAGAAACTTTGCTTCTGTTGGTGGAAGAAGACAAAGGAATCAAATATGTCACTGAGACAGCTGACATGAATACACGGCAGGGTGGGCTTAGTATTAATTGGAATGGAGAAGACTAGGAGAGGGGTATATTGGAGTGAAGAGACAAGGAGCATAGGGAGGTAGGATGTGGGGAAATAGAATCCTTGGGGCTCTCAGTAGAATAGATGGCTTGGAGCAATGTATGACAAGGCCTGTTGATTATCTAAGTGTTATTCTGAGGGACCAAATGTGGATGAAGACATAGGCTGAATGTGAAAGCTGGTAACAGCTAAAACTTACTAAAATAGCATGAATGTAACTGAGCATACTGGAGTATATTGGATGAGGAAAATGACTGGAGTATAGTGCTGAGGAAAAGCCTCAAACAAATAAACAAAAACTAAGATTAAAAATGTAATTCATATGCATTAACATATAAGCATATAAAATACTTTTGGCTTAGTAATTATAAATGAAGTTTTACTAATTAGATACATATGTATGGTAACCTGTAACAGAGTAGGGGAAAGGGATCTATGCAGAAAAAAGGAAAGTGAATGAGTGAATGAATGAATGACTGGGAGAGCACAGAGTAAAGCTCTGATTTAATCTTAAGAGTTCAGCTGTAAGAGACAGGAGAGTAAATGGGGCCCAGTGGAACCTGGGAAAATGCCAAGAGTCCTCATAACTTGCAGTGGAATTTTGTTTAAAAGGCAAGAACAGCAATAGAGAAGGTGAATAGATAGACAGGGAAACTGGCATTGGCTGGAGCTCAGGAAATACAGTAGAATGGAAACAGCATCCTCCACAAGATGGTAGGCATTCCAGGAGAGGCAAGGCTGTGGCTGTCTATGGAGTGAGTGGGCTGATGCAGCTATGAAAAATCCTGACTGAATATGTTATTTCCTTGGTGATATAGAAGCCAGAGACATAAACAGGGAGGGATAGACAGCCGAATGGTTTAAGGAGACCGATGGTGGGAGGAAACGGAGGTTTAGAAATATGGTGAAATTACCATGGATTATGGAGGCCCAACTTGATAATAGCGACTTCTTATCTAAATTAAACTACATAGAGAAAGATTTGTTTAATTAATTTATTAGGCATCTTGCTTTAGAGGCCAGGGTGATCTTGAATTCATTATCCTTCTGCCTCAGTCACCAACGTGCTGGGATTACAGGTGTGCACCATCATGCCTGGTTCAATTTTTCTTTCATTTTAAGTCTCTCTTTTATTTTTCCTTTTACATCGATTCAGGTTCCAGAGAGGCAGATTACTAGTCTTAACCAGGATTGGATTGTATTTTTCCAAGGAAAGATGAACTGACTGAGGGAGGGAACAGATAATTGAGGACACATGCAAGAAAAATCAAGAGGTTTGATTCTAGAATTTGGATTGACCAAGGCCAGTGAGAAGTTGTAAGATCAGTGGGCTTTATTTTTGTGAGGTTGAGGAATTGTTGGAGTTAGGTTGTTAGACTGGCCGAACATGAGAGAAATTAAGGATATTTCTGTCTTCAGGTAGAAGCTGTACTGGAAGATCTGTGGTCCATTCATAAATTCTTTGAGGCTTACTGAAGTCAGCTGGCCTATGATTTATTGATCTCTTTCATGTGTGACCACAAAGTGACACAGCATGGCTGCATTTGACTTCTATGTTCAAGTATAAAAGAAATTCATCACAAGAAGACTGGGTATATTTCTCTCTGGATGTGCTGACCTGTAACCTCCTGTAAATGGAAACTGCTTTTCCCAGTGGGTCTTTTTGGCTTTTGTTGTCTTTGTGGAATACAGGGAAGAATTTACTGATGAATGTGCTGTTACTTGCATTCACACAGACACACACAAACACATATACATACACTCACACACAGTGTGTGATATCCATGTGTGGGCTGTGTGTCTGTATTCCAAAGAAATCAAACGGCAGCACAAATCCATTAGCCTTAATCAACCTCTTTATAAAGCAAAACAAAACTAAAAGCCTGTGAAATCCTTTAATCATTTTTTCTTCTTCACAGCTGTGAAAGTGTGCTGTCTTATGTAACAACAGCCACAATAGCTCACAATGTATTTTAGTATTTGGAGTCTGTAATTTTTTTCTTTCTTTCTT